CTGGAGGTTAGCTTTTACAGTGTCCTTACAAGGACTGAATATTTGGTAACGCACCATAACGTCACCAAAGTATGAAAAAATATCTTTGATTCCAACTTAAAGTTTCAATCTTGTCATTCCTAGGTAGCTAAAACCAAATGAAAACAAATATAATTTTGTCTTCTTCCAGATTACAAGAAATAAAAGCAAATGTACATATAGCAAGAAATAAAAACTGAAAGAGAAACTATTATAATGGCTTAGTAAATCTCCAGGTAGTTGGTAATTTTAAAAATAGTTTACTATTATATATGTATAGCTCTCTGGGTGGAAGTGACTTTTATTTTCTTAATATCTTTATTTTCTATTTTTTAAATAATGATCATTCTTCTAAACAGTATTATGTAAGCCAAAAATCTAGGAGTCGCCTGATAGTTTCTCATATCCAAGAAATCACCACTCCTGTAGGTTTTACCTGCTAAATACCTCTTAAATTAATCTATTTTTCCTTGTCCCCAACAATGTCAAGCCCAGAGGCCTTTTTTTTTTTTTTTTTTTGATACATGGTTTTGTCATGTTGGCCAGGTTGGTCTTGAACTCCTGGCCTCAAGCAATCCTGCTGCCTCAGCCTCCCAAAGTGCTAGGATTATAATTGTAAGCCACCACGCTCGGCCAGAACAGCCTTTTTATTTATTTATTTTTATTTTATTTTAGAGACTACATTGCCCAGGCCAGACTTGAACTCCTGGGCTCAAGCAATCCTCCCACCTCAGCCTCCCAAATGGCTGAGACTACAGGTGTGCCCCACTGCACCTGGTTTACAATAGCCTCTGAATTGGTCTCCCTATATCCACTCTTGTTCTCACCATCCCTCCTTCCACCTCGCAGTGATCATTTCTAAACACAAATCTCAGTATGTCCTTCCCCTATGTCCACCTGCTCAAAACCTTACTCTTAGATAAAATAAAAAACATCACTTCAGCCTACATACAAGGCCCTACACGACCTGGCCTTGCCTATCTTTTCACCATTCAGTTTAAGTCACATGCCCTTGCTCTTTGTGTCCTTCCACCCTAACCACAGGGCCTTTATGCAGGCTATTCTTTTTGGTTTTTTTGTTTTGAGATGGAGTCCATTTTTTTTTTTTTTTTGAGATGGAGTCTCGCTCTGTTGCCAGGGTGGAGTGCAGTGGCGCGGTCTTGGCTCACTGCAACCTCTGCCTCACGGGTTCAAGCTATTCTCCTGCCTCAGCCTCCTATGCAGGCTATTCTTTTTATCTGTAATGTTCTTCCCTCCCTCTCTTCAGTTGGCGAATTCTTAGTCATCCTTGGGCTCACAGTTCAAGCATTTCTTCTGAAAAGATCTTTCCTTCCCTAATCTCCCCAGTTAAGACAAATCCTCTATTATAACATCTCCTAGCAATAAATATTTTTCCTTTGCAATCTTTGTTACATAGTCATAAATCTGTCAATGCTATTTCAGATGGCTTTTTGACAGCTTCCTACACTGGAAATTAAACCAATTTCAAAAAAGAAGCGTTGTCTTCATTCCAGACTTTTCCAAATCACATATCCAACTGCCTACCATATTTCTCACTTGAAGGGCTCAAAAATACATGTACAATATGCGCAAAATTAAATCACTTCTACCCACCCCAAACTGGTCCTCCTCATCTTCCCTGCCTCACCGAATGCACTGCTATCTTTCTTGTGATACACACATCAAAAATCTTCAACACCTTCTCCATGCTGCCTCTCCCATTCACAACACACCATGTCCTGAATACTATCTATCTCCCAATTATTTATTGACCTTATCCTGTTCTTCACCCTTCACAACACCACCTCTCTGGCCCAGGTCATTATCACGTCTTTCTTGGGTTGCTCTAAGCGTCTCAAATTGATCTCTTCATAACCACTCTTGCCCTCTACCAGCCATTTTTCATTCAGCAGACAAGCCACTCCCCCCATGCAAATGTGAACATTTCCTTATTAAATCCCTTCAGTGGCGTCCCAAAGCTCTTAGGCTAATAAAGTCTGAAATCATTAACAAGGCAGGCATAATCCAGGCCTTATCTGTCCCTCCAACTTCATTTGTTGCCACTTTCCCCTTCCAGACACACTGGTCTTCCTCCACTTTCTCTGCTGCGTGGTAGTCTGTCTCACCATCTCCTATTCTTACTGCCTGCAAGACTCTCCTCACCCTCCCACCATCGCCTTTCACCTCTGAAGGCCCACTAGCTCCTCGTATCACAACCTAAGCATCATTTTTCTCAGGCAGGCTTTCTCTGACCCCACAGTCCAATCAGATGCCCATCTACATGCTTTCAAAGCACCCTGTGCTGCTTCTGCCTCAGAGATCCTCAGTTTACTACTAGGTGTGTAATTAATTTGCATATGTCACACACAGACCTGCAACCACATCCATCCTAATCTTCACTATACCCCCAGCAACTTCTATACAATAAATATTTGTTGAGTAAACAATTCAGAATTTGAGGGGATTAGTAGTCACCTGAAAGTTTTCAGCATACCGTTACTACATTTTGCCCCTTACACTATGACTAAAACTGACTATATACCTGTTTTAATTTCCTAGCATTGACATACCTTTTACTGACCATCAGGAAAGAGAGGAGCATAAAACGAGGATGGCCCCCAGTCCTTAAGAAAACATCAACTGGGCAAGGTGGTGCGTGCCTGTGGTCCTAGCTACTACGGAAGCTGAGAATGGCTTGAACCCAGCAGTTCCAGTCCAGCCTGGGCAACACAATGAGATCCTGTCTCAAAATAAACAAATACAAATAATAGACTTTATTAAAAAGAAAATATCAAAAATGAAAGTTTTGGCTGGGCACGGTGGCTCATGCCTATAATCCCAACACTTTCAGAGGTCAAGACAGGAGGATCACCTCAGGAGTTCGTGAGACCAGCCTGGCCAACGTGGAGACCATCCTGGTCAACATAGTGAAACCCTGTCTCTACTAAAACACAAAAATTAGCTAGGTGTGGTGGCGCCTGCCTGAAGTACCAGCAACTCGGGAAGCTGAGGCAGGAGAATCACTTGAATCCGGGAGGTGGAGGTTGCAGTGAGCCAAGATCACACCACTGCACTCCAGCCTGGCGACAGACCAAGACTCCATCTTAAAAAAAAAAAAAGAAAAAAAAAAAATTAGCTAGGCATGGTGGTGGGTGCCTCTAATCCCAGCTACTCAGGAGGCTGAGGCAGGAGAATCACTTGAACCCGGGAGGTGGAGGTTGCAGAGAGCTGAGATCATAATACTGCACTCCAGCCTTGGTGACAGTGAGACTCTGCCTCAAAAAAGAAAAAAAAGAAAAAGAAAAAAGAGAAAATGTCCTTTCTTGTGATTCTGGCAAGCAACAAAAAAGACTACTAAGAGTAATTTCTTTAAGCTGATAGAAAATATTTTCCCTATTTATGGGGGACATGTGACCTTTATGGGGTATTTGTTACACGCATAGAATGTGTGATGATCCAGTCAGAGTATGTGGGGTATTCATCACTTTGAGTATTTTTTATATCTATGTGTTGGTAACATTTCAAGCCCTCTCTCTACCTATTTTGAAATACACATTGTTGCTGACTATAGTCACCATACCCTAACAGGGACTAAAGAGGCAGTGGCATGTGAGGGCTCTGCAACACATTAAGGAAAATTCTACAGACTACATAGCTGACATAGTGCACACACAACACGATACGCTGAATATATGTGAAACAAATTAAATTATAGATACGGCAGATTCGATTCATTTCCTACATTATTCAACTTTTCTGGTCAGAACAGATACAGAATGAGTCAATACAACCACCTCTTTTCTAACTAACCTCCCAATATGGGCAATGGGTTCTTAGCTAAATATATCCTATTCTTCAGAGTTTAACTGGGCATCAACTTTTTTTTTTCCTTCTTGTTGAGACAGGGTCTCATTCTGTTGCTCAGAATGCAATAGTGGAATCATAGCTCCCTGCAGCCTCCGACTTCTGAGATCAAGCAATCCTCCCGCCTGAGCCTCCCAAGTAGCTGGGACTACAGGCACAGGCCACTGTACCCGGTTAATTTACTTCATTTTTTGTAGAAAGGGAGTCTGGCTTTGCTACCCAGGCTCCAGCTTCAATTTTCGACACAGAATTTACCCATCTGACATTCCATATATTTTACTTTAAAAAAATCTCCCGTCAGTAAGGTTCAAGAGCGAAAATACTTTGTCTGTCTTGTACATTGCATATCCCAACGCCTAAAATAGTGCCTGAGAGAGTAGGCACTCAAGTATTTGTTGATTGAAAGCATGACGGAACTCTTCCCCGTCCGGACCACTGACACAAAGCTCCCTCATTGAGTTTCAAAAAAACCTTATTCCAAGGACTGAAACTTTTCTTCCTGGTTACTTGAGTCAGTCCAGAAAGCTACAGTTAATAGTAAAACCCTGAGAATGAGGCTTTCACTTTTTTTTTTTCTTTCTCATCTCCATGCTTGTTTCCTTGGTTCCTCTTGAGCATTAACCCTCTTCAACTACCATTCTCTTAATACATGGCCTATAAAATAGTCTAAATTCCAATTTCAAAACTTAATATTCTTTCTGCACAGATCCCTCCCACCTCAACACCAATCTACATCTTCTCTCTTCGCCTTCTCTCATAAATTCGACTTTTCCCACTAGTCCTGCCACTGCCATTTCTCCATCTCTTCCACTCTTTCCACGCCCTCATCTCATCCGCTCAGTTTGTCTTCCCGCCTCAGTTTTGGATTTCTCTAAACCTCCTAAACCCCGGGGAGTCTTTCCTACTTCGATCCTAGTCTCTATTCTATTCGCCAACTCCTCCCACTCATCCACTCTCAAACACCCCCGCGTGCGCACACGCAGCCACATCAGGTCTCCCCTCCTAGACCCCGAAGTCGGCACCTCACTAGCCCAAAACTCAAGAATGAGGAACCCGGGTGATCCACAGGTTAAGTGACCCATGATAGTAGATCTGCGTGAGAAATATAAGTGACCCACCTCTGAGGCCGAGGTTCCTGCCAGACGTCGTGTCTGGCGTGGGCCTGTACAACCCTAGAATCTTAAAGACGCCGCAGAGCGAAACTCCTAGAAACGCAGAGGATACGCTCCCAGCGCGCCGCCATCTTGTGAAGCCATCTAGCCTCATGATTGGACAAATCCCTCTCGCGCGACCTGTGGCTGATCCTGAAGAAAGAAGAAAGCGTCGCGAGACCTGGAGTTGGCTGCTCCTGACAGAAGGCGGGGGCGTGGTGGCAAGCGGAGTCCTTTGCAGTATGGCAGGAGGAGGACCTGCGCTCGAATTCGCGGGAAAGCACTTAAAAGAAAAAGAAACAAGTTTTCCGGGCCGTGCTGCAGACTGACCTCTCACACCCACTGGGATTGGACAGGTTATGAAGATAAGGGTATGAGACTTGGGCGTGATGGCGTGCGGTGAGCGCTTTTTGTGCAACAGGTGTGTCCTCAGGCGATGTCTCACTCACTGAATCATAAGAGATACAGTGGGGTGGGGAAGAGTACTCTCATTTACAGCGAAAGAACTGAGGATAAGAGGTTTTTGTTTGTTTGTTTGTTTGTTTTTTGATGGAGTCTCGCTCTGTCGCTCAGGCTGGAGTGCAGTGGTGCCATCTTGACTCGCTGCAGCCTCCGCCTCCTGGGTTCAAGCGATTCTCCTGCCTCAGCCTCCCAAGTAGCTGGGATTATAGGCACCCGCCACCACGCCCGGCTAATTTTTGTATTTTTAGTATAGATGGGGTTTCTTCATATTGGCCAGGCTGGCCTCGAACTCCTGACCTCAGGTGATCCGCCTGCCTCGGCCTCCCAAAGTGCTGAGATAACAGGTGTGAGCCACCGTGCCCGGCTGGATCAGAACTATTAAGTGGTTTGTTCAAGATCTTACACTCAGAGGCCGGATGCTGTGGCCCACGCCTGTGATCCCAACAGTTTAGAAGGCCAAGGTGGGCGGATCTCTTGAGCCCAGGAGTTCAAGACCAGTCTGGGCATCATGGCAAAAACCCGTCAATACAAAAAATTACAAAAATTAGCCAGGTGTGGTGGTGGTGCGCCAGAAGTCCAGCTACGTGGGGGACTGAGGTGGGAGGCTGAAGTGGGAGGATCACTTGAGCCCGGGATGTCGAGGCTGCAGTGAGCCGAGTTCCTACCACTGCACTCCAGCCTGGCAGACAGAGCAAGACACAGTCTCAAAAAATAAATAAATAAATAATAAATAATAAAAATTTAAAAATTGGATGACATCAAGTCTGCCTGCCCTAAGCTGGAAGCTCTGTTAATGCATTTCAATTTCTTTTAAACTCGTTTCTACTGATTTTACCTTCTTGTAAGTGGAGTGAATATAAATCTCCCCCAGTTTGCAGCTGAGATAGAAAGGTTAGTGACTTTCAAAAGGCATACAAGTAGTAACAAAGTGAGGGCTAAAGTCAGCCTCTGGACCTGGTACCTCTTTCCATTTAAAAAAAAAAAAAAAAAAAAAAAAAAAAAAAAAAAAAAAAAAAAAAGGGCCTGCCTATGCCCTCGTGGTTAATGTGAACGCTTCTGGCAAACTGTTGCCATAAAATTGGGAGATAGTAAGGATTAAGGAATGGAGACTTCAGCCTTATGCACAAGTGAGTGTACCAGCAGTCACCCAAAGAAAGCTGAGGAGGTGTTTTCAATCTATTGTGTAACAAACCGCCCCGAAACGTAAGACCTAAAACAACAACCATTTTATTTGCTCACAGTTCTGCAATCTGGGCTGTGATTAGGCCAGCCATTCTGCTCGTCTTGCCAGTGGTCATAGCATCAAGTGGGGGCTGGTTCTGCTGAAAGAACTAGGTCTCTCTCCCTATAGTCCAAGTTATTTCCCTGCCCATATAGCCTTTCCACATAACTTGTCTAGCAGAGTAGGAAGACTTTTTCCCCACAGAGATGGAGTTTCACTCTTATTGTCCAGGCTAGAGTGCAATGGTGCCATCTTGGCTCACTGCAACCTCCACCTCCTGGGTTCAAGCGATTTTCCTGCCTCAGCCTCCTGAGTAGCTGGGATTACAGGCGCCTGCCACCATGCCCAGCTAATTTTTTTGTGTTTTTAGTAGAGACAGGGTTTCATCATGTTGGCCAGCCTGGTCTCAAACTGCTGACCTGAGGTGATTCACCCGCATCGGCCTCCCAAAGTACTGGGATTGCAGGCATGAGCCACCGTGCCCAGCCAGAATACTTCTTACATGTTGGCTCAGGGCTCCCAAAAGGGCAAAAGTGGAAGCTGCCAGGCCTTCTTAAAGCTTGGGTGCAGAACTACCACCTTGGCCATACTCTTGGTTAAAGCAAGTAAAAGGGCCAGTCCCCAGCCATTCAAGGGGAGGGGACTATGCCAGGATACCTTCCAATATTGGAAGGCATGGTTCATTTCGGCAATCAATGTAACATATTACTACAGAAAGTTTTCCATCTTTAGTTGGTAGTGGCTTTGATACTACTTATAGCGTTTTATTTAGTGCGTGCTACTGGAAAGGTGAAAGAAAAGATGGCCTCGGAGATAGGACTGGTGGGGTTGAAGTGATTCTATTTAAGATACTGGTAACTTTCTGTTAGCTCCAAAGGGCAACCCCGTTTACCTATAGGTCAGGCCCGAGACACCCTAGTAGCACTGCAGCTGGGAAACCTGGCCTTTAATCCTGCCCACCATTTACTAACCCTGTGATTATAGGCAATTTACTTAAACACTTGAAGCCTTAGTTTGCTCAATATTACAAAACAGGATAATCTCACAGGATGTGGGAATTAAAATCAGACAATGCATATAAAACAACAGAATGTCTAGCATATAGTAAGTTCCTAATAATTATAACATTGCTCCTTATAACTTATCTGGTCAGTTTTTTTTTAAGTATTCCATAAAGATAAAACATTTTAATAATTGAAAATTTGTAAACAACTTAAATAATACATAAAGGTATCAGAAAGACAAAAATTATCTAAAATCTCACCACTCACAGGCAAGCACAATCAAATTTGGGTAACCTTACCACTAAACCTCTATATCTCATAAGGATATATAACCAAATAATTTTTATACAAATATATAGTATATATATGTAATTACATATATATACACACACACACATGCACATATATTCAAATATAACTCTTGGAGATTCCTCCACTTCCATCAATATAGTTCTATATTATTCTTTGTGATAGGTGCACAGTATTCCAGTGAATTGATATACCACTTTTCTTCTTTTGTTTTTTTTTTTTGAGATGGAGTCTCACTCTGTCGCCCAGGCTGGAGTGCAGTGGCGTGATCTCGGATCACTGCAACCTCCGCCTCCCGGGTCAAAGCGATTCTTCTGCCTCAGCCTCCCGAGTAGCTGGGATTGCACGTGCCCACCACCACACCAAGCTATTTATTTTTGTATTTTTAGTAGAGACGGGGTTTCACCATGTTGGCCAGGCTGGTCTCAAACTCCTGAGCTCAAGTGATCCACCTGCCTTGGCCTCCCAGAGTGTTGGGATTACCGTCCTGGGCCACTGCACCCGGCTGGATATACCACTTTTTAAAAAACTAATTCGCGGCCAGATTCAGTGGCCCAGACCTGTAATCCCAGCACTTTGGGAGGCCAAGGCAGGTGTATCACTTGAGCTCAGGAGTTTGAGACTAGCCTGGCCAACATGGTGAAACCCCATCTCTACTAAAAATACAAAAAAATTAGCCAGGCGTGGTGGTGGGCACCAGCAATCCTAGCTCCTCAAGAGGCTGAGGCAGGAGAATCGCTTGAACCCGGGAGTCGGAGGTTGCAGTGGGCCGAGATCACACCACTGCACTCCAGCCTGGGCGACAGAGTGAGACTCCATCTCAAAAACAAACAAACAAGGCCGGGCGCAGTGGCTCACGCCTGAAATTCCAGGACTTTGGGAGGCTGAGGCGGGTGGATCACTTGAGGTCAGGAGTTCGAGACCAGCCTGCCAGCATGGTGAAACCCCATCTCACTAAAAATACAAAAACTAGCCAGGTGTGGTGGTGGGCACCTGTAATCCTAGCTACTCGGGAGGCTAAGGCAGGAGAATTGCTTGAACTGGGACCCGGGAGGCAGAGATTGCAGTGAAGATCGTGCCACTGCACTCCCGCCTGGGCGACAAAGCAAGACTCTGTCTCAAAAATAACAAACAACAACAACAACAACAAAACTAATTTCCCTGTGGATGGATATAGGTTCTTTCCAATGTATCTGGTATGACCTATTACCAAATATTGTGATACAATGGTAAATACATATCCTTGAAAACTTTTTTATATAAAATGAAAATTATCTGGAGACTCCACAGAATAGATTAACAAGATATTCAACATCTGCCTTTTTCCAAATTTACCCTCAAATCTTCAAGAATTTGAAGTCTCTCAAACTTCCATACCCCAGCAAGGACAGTGCAGATGTCCTATTAGCCAGTTACATCCTTTGCTACCTCTTTGTAGCAGGAAACTGATTCTGCACATCCAATAAATAATGCTGCTAATTATGAAATGTTGCCTAGCCGGTTATCAGAGCTGCTTTCAGCAGCAGCTGCCTACTAGACTGGAATCAACCCTTGAGGGCATCAGACTGGGCTCCCTCTTTACTGAAATTAATTATTTCAAGGACTTTGTGGCCCTTCCCTGTCACTGTCCTTTGGCCACAGCCAGCCTGTCAACAGCCACAGGTCTCCCTGACTTTGTGTTTCAGAAAGTAATAATTGAGTGTCAATTTCTTCTAGCTTAGAAGACTCTAGCTTCCTTATGGAAATTCGTCCACCTCGTTCTTAGGGACCAAGTTTACATATCAGGGATCTAATAGTCATTATAGTTGTCACAAAAGCTATATCCAGGCGGGTACAGTGGCTCACGCCTGTCATCCCAGCACTTTGGGAGGCTTAGGAGAGCGGATCACCTGAGATCATGAGTTCTAGACCAGCCTGGCCAACACGATGAAACCCTGTCTCTATTAAAAATACAAAAAATTAGTCAGGCAGAGTGGTAGATGGCTGTAATCCCAGCTACTCGGGAGGCTGAGGCAGGAGAATCGCTTGAACCCAGGAGGCAGAGATGACAGTGAACTGAGATCGCGCCACTGCATTCCAGCCTGGGCAACAGAGCAAGAGTCCCTGT